AAGTGGCTTTAGCTTCTCAGTGCTGTGCTTTAACCTGGGCTACCAGGAAGGGCCTCATTATGAGTCTTAATGAAAAAGTTTACTCTTGTTTCTTAATTCTCTCTCCTTCCTACCATAGAGAATGCATTTTGTTTCTGTTGGGCTTTGGATAGTGAACCTATATGTTATTCATGTATTTTATGATTTTTTAAACAGCCACCATATTTCCTGGTTTTTGCCTTTACAGAATCTGTTTTTTTAGAATTTATTATCATCAAGGCTTTCATCTCCCAGCTGCTCTTATTGATTTCCTTCTTTCAGTGTGAGATGTGGGGATGGTGTTCTTAATCTTAAATAAATGCCAGGTGCTGGCCATCCTGACTGAGTGTGATGGGATAAAGCACAGTTGATTGCATTCTTTTTCTTTTTCTAATTCATAATTTGTTACTACCTGGTTCTAGTGTAGAGATTCTCACATTAAGATGTGAGAAAATGACAAAATTCGGTTTAAATCGTGTTTTTTCTATGACATGTAGGTTTCATAATCCAACCACATGATGATTTGCTTTGTTTATTGCAGACAGTCTATCAGGTTTATGAGAGAAAAGAAAACAGAAACAAAGAGCTATCACTAAAGCTTTCCTCTAAATACTGAATCTGCTAGATAGGTTCTTTTTCTTTCAGAATAAGCTCAAGGCAGTAAGTGCTATTAGAGCATTTCATGTTTTGTTTTCTCCAACCTGGCAAAGCAAAGCAATGTTTTTCTTACTGTTACTTGATAATACTTGCTGTCTTAACTTTTAAGCCTCTAACCTCTCATGACTAACTAACGTTATCTCTTATTGCATTTGAACATCAATGAGACCTGACTTAGTAATTTGCATAGATTCTAGTTAGTCTGGAGGTTAAGAGGTAAATATGTCCTTTTGGTGTTTTCTTTCTGGCTGACACATTAGTTTATTCACTCTGCTTTAAGTGAATAAATTTCTGTGCCAGCCAGGATCTTCACAAAACAAGCTGGGTAAGTATATGAATTTTTTTTTAAAGATTTATTTATTATTCATACAGGACTGGGGTACAGGCCAGAGATGCGGAGGGTGAGAGGATTCACCAGGGACAGAGTGGGGAGCAGAACAGGCAGATCGACGAAGTACATTGCTGAGGGGAGCAGCGGGCGGGTCAGGAGAGGTCTGCCTCACCATGTGGTCACCTCCCGGGCAGGCCAGGATCGAACTCATGCGGAAGTGGCTTAAGCTTCTTAGTGCAGCGCTTTAACCCGCTGCGCCACCAAGGAGGGCCCAAGTATATGAATTTTTAAATAAACTTATTTTGCATCTTACAAGTAAAGAGTAAAATTTTAAGATATCACTCATTATTTTTTTCTTATAAATGAATTATTGAGAGAAAGTCACATTATATTCTGATTTTCAGAATATAATGTAATTTGAAACATATAATAATATATGTAACATGTGTATACTTCTCTCTAATATATCTGTATATATATAATTGTGTGTGTGTGTGTGTGTGTGTGTACTCTGTAACCATTGTTGGCAGTTGTCTCAACCTTACCCTCAGTTTGGGAAAAATAAAACCACTTTTGCTTTGTGGTGATAAAGAACTAGTAAGTATTAAGTGAAATCATTGAAACAGTATTAAGCTTTTCTCCTGAAACTGTACATGTTCACTGGATGAGTAATTTTGTTTCACAGATGCAGCATTTAAAATCCTGAATCCTATGACTGTTCCAAGATTTTTTAGACTGAATAGCAACAATGCCTTGATAGAGTTCTTGTTGGAGGTGAGTAGGAGGAGTCTATTTCTTTGGTGGTAGGAGAAAAATGACATTCTTTACATGTCTGGTAATTTCTAGACATCTATAGAAATTGTCATCTTCTTTTTAAGGGTACTCCAGAGATAAGAGAACATTATCTTGACTCTAAAAAAGATGTAGATCGTCATCTGAAATCAGCTTGTGAGCAGTTTATTCAGCAACAGACTAAGCTGTTTGTAGAGCAACTGGAGGAGTTCATGACAAAGGTATAGAACGTGGTGAATTCTTTCCTTTTGCATTACTTTCTTGTGAAAATTCTTCCAGAGGGAGATAGTAAGCCCAAATCCTAATGATTTCATCTAAGGAGTCACTATTTCCTATTATGGATTGAACTTTCAGATACACTTGCAGAGTTTCTAGTTTTGAAGAGTAATTGTGTAGCTGTTAAAAAGCTAGTTGTAGCAGACCTGTGGTTAGCTATGTTCTGTTCATCCACATTGTGAATATTTATATCTGGTCTGGAACTCTCACTTGTTCCTGTGTTGGGACCTATACGGCTATGTTGAATTGTTAGTCACCACATATAGGGATTTATAATTATATGTCTCCCAGTTGAAATCCATCACTTTGCAAATATCATCAATGAAAAATTGCATCAGTCCTGTGTTGACTTTACAGTTTAAAACTGATTATTAAAAAAATTTGTAAATATTTTTAAAAGATGTTTTAAAAGTCTGGAAGTTATCATTCATTTATTAAGCCTGTATGTCTGCCCAGACTTAGAGGACTTTGTAAAAAGAATAAAAGTATGCTGGTCCTGTCTCACAAATTTATCTGTTGAAGTTTTAATTGTGGAGAAAAAATGTATTTGTGAAATGACCAGGAGACAACTATGGAGATCTTCCATTACTGACTTGCTGGATCCATCAAGCCTGAAGCCTATAATAAAGCCAGAGGATGTTAGTTTCAAAATAATAATAAATACCAAAAAAAAAAAAAAAAGGAAATACAGAAATGTTAAAACAAACTACTCTTTTATCATGGCAGATATTAATTGCTTAGTGGGTTTTAGTCTTGTTATATATCAAGTAGTTGAGTTTGTGTGTGTGTTTTAAATTTTATTAATATTATTTTTTTAAGAGTATTTTTTTTAAGATTTATTTATTTGTGCACATATAAGTGGGGTACAAGCCAGAGGTGCATGGGTGGTGAGAGGATTCACCAGAGACAGAGTGGGGAGCAGAACAGGCAGATTGTCAAAGTACATTGCTGAGGGGAGCAGCAGGCAGGTCAGGAGAGGTCTGCCACATGTTGGTCACCTCCGGGGCAGGCAGGTATCGAACTCATACTGAAGTGGCTTTAGCTTCTTAGTGCTATGCTTCAACCTGCTGCACCACCAGGGAGGGCTTGTGTGTGTTTTCTTACTACCACATAAATTTAAATGGAGGGTGATAGAAATGAGTCTACCAGGTTTTGACTTAAAAAAAAAAAAAAAAGATAAGTGTTGATATTTTGTAATTTAAAAATGTTGTCATAGTTTTTACTGACTTGTCCCCATAGAAAGCTAGCTTCTAGTATGTTTTTTGGGGGGAAAACACTCACATAATACTGGTGGAAAATAACTGTGGATGAATATTTTTTGCATTAGTGAAGCAGCATGAATTTATCTTCCAACAGAATTAGGTTGATTGTAATAAATTCTTGTATTAGATAGGTTTTTCTAGAAAAGGAGTTTTCTTGAAATCAAGAAAATGAAAATGTAGTTGTTCAAGCTGACCTTAGCATTGATTTGTTAAGTTTCATAAAACCCTTCAGTTGTGTATTTTTGATATTTTTTGATAGTTCTGGACAGTATAAGACAAGTGGTTTGAGTATGTAGAGAAGATTCTTGAGTTCTCAGAAGACTTGTTTTTGAACCTGAAGACTTGGGTTGTGATTCTGATCCCTTTTCCCTGCTATATATATTAGCTTTTTTATTTATGTCATTTTTATCTTGGGCTCTCCTTATGAAATGCCTTGTTTTTCATTAGTTCTATCTCTGCTATCTGGAGTATATCACTGTTTGGAAAACTAAAGTTAACATCCTTTCTGAATTTTTGGTATAATAAATAGTCTTGAGAAAAATAGACTAGTTAATAGAAGAACTTGTATATGCTCTATTTCCTTATTTCTTCTCCTGGAAAAATAACCTTTCTCTAAGCATTTGACCTCAGGGAGTGTTCTCAGTGTTAGGATTGAGGTTCGTAAAAAAACAGCTTGGTCAGATTTTTTCCTATAACTTCAAAAGTTGTTGATTTTCTTATTCTAGAATTTTGCTGTATTGAAAACTACTTAAAACAAATCCTGAAGCAGAACTTGAACCAGTACTAGTGGGTGTAGGTAAAAAGAACATAGAATTTTGAGTCAGGAAAACTGAGTCCAAGTCCTGCTTCTCCCACATCCTAACTAAAATTGTAGGCAACCCACTTGGTTTCTCTACATCTCAGTCTTTTAATCTCTACAGTAGAAATAACAATAGCTTCTCTTCTCCCTTCCTAAGGTTATTGTGAGACTCAGAAGAAAATCATGTTTATAAGCGTACTTTGTAAAGTGTTATAAAAGTGTTATAGTGAAATATGATAAATTTACGATTTTATGTTAGCAAATTTTCTGAATTAAAAGTGTAATTTCAAGATCATGCTTACTAATATAAGATAGAAAGAGAAAGAAAAATACCGGATGGTTTCGCTCATAGCAGGAGTATAATGGACCAGGTGAGAAAATAATAAGAATAATGATCAGCCATGTACCAGAGACATTTTGTGGGGGTAGAGTGGGGAATGAGAAGAAAGGGGGGGGGGGGGAAGTGCATGGGACTATGGTGATGGCACACGGGTGACTTGGTGATGGGAAACCTGTGGGGATTACAATTGAGATTGAAAAAAAAAAAGTACAAAATGATGTAAAAATAAACTGTCATAAAAAAAAAGTATAATTTCACTCCCCAAGCTGTACCTTAGCTTCTCCATAATTTGCCACTTTAACAATAGTCTTGTCCAAGCAGCTAAATGTACTCTTTTTTGTTTTTGCTTCTCTGTCCATAGATAGAGCACATAGTGTACTTTTTTTATGTTGTGGGAAAATCTTGGGTTTTTAAAATAATACTCTGTCAGCCTATGATGCAGTAAAGAGACCTTCTAGTATAGAGATTTTTGTCCTGCTAAGGTAGCAATTTTTTAACAACATGGATAATAATTTAGTGTTAATATAGCATAAGAGAGATCTGTTGTATTGTTATTTCTCTAGGTCTTCAGTTTTGTTTTTCTACCCTAAAAGTTTCAAGCAGAAAGCATTAGGACATTGATAAGGTTTTTGCAAGGCCATGAAAATCTCAAGAAACTTTGGGAAAATATTACTTATAAAGGATTGTGAGATAGTGATGCATTATTTTTAGGGTTACACATTTAATTATTATGTTTTAAGTGGTGTTTATAACCTTTGAGCGGTATTAGTTTAATTTGTCTTAAACTACATAATACATATTTTTTTGTCTCCTCTAGGTTTCAGCCTTAAAAACAATGGCCAGCCAGGGAGGTCCCAAGTATACTCTCTCACAGCAGCCATGGGCACAACCAGGTAGTAGCACTCATGTTTTGGGATTTCATTTTTTAGACTTTTTACATTGAATAGTCCTTAGAGTTGGTTTCCTACTCTTGTCACTGGCTGGAATGGAAGCTCCTAGGTGGCCAGCACCACTTGCCTTTCAACAGTATTCTAAGGATAAAAGAATTTAATGTAGATGTTAATCTCCAGTTTAAAAAAAAAACAGTAAAAGCTTAATGGAAATACTTTGAGCCTACTGGTTTCTCTCCACCTGATTTTCATTGTCTTGAAGCTTTGATGAAAAGACTCTGTATCTGATAGATTGTAATTATGGGGAAAATGGTTTTCAAGTTTTATGTGATGAATGCTGGGCCATTATTTTGTCAAAATATTTTTATACAAATTGCATCCAGTGCTTGTTAACATTTTAGAATGAAAAAAATTGAACTGTGAAAAGTATAAAGTGTAAAGTAATTCTATTCACTTCCAAACTAGTCTTCTTAAAGGTATCCATAACTAACATACACCTATATGTTTAGAATGTACATATTCACTAGCATATATGAATCTTAAAATGTTTTGCAAATAATATTGTACCATATTCTTTGTTTTCTTTTTCTGCATCTCAGAACCCTTTTTTGTGTCAGCATAACTAATTTCACCCATTCTATTTCATAGAATATGTCACTCTTACATAATTTAATAACTCTATAAATAATTATTTATTTGTATTATTTTCATATACTTTTAAAACTGTCTATATACACATTTTTGTATTTTGTAAGTCTATCTATACTAAATTTCTAGCAATAGCAGTGTTCAGTGTGACTGTATATATTTTCAGTTAGGATTAGGGTATTAGGTACATATCCTTGCAAAGATGATCAACCATTTTATATCTCCATTGGAAATAGATGCGTGGGCCTGTTTCTCTAGATCCTTATCAAATTTGGACATTTACAATATTAGTTTACCAGTTTGAGGACATCTGAGCTGGTTTAGTGAGCATTTTAAAAAGTAAGAGTGAGGTTGAGTATTAATTATTAATAAGTTTTTTCTTTTGTAACTTCTTGGTTACCCCTTTTAAGAGCTTTTACATACTATTATTCTTCCATGTAGCTTTTTCCTACCCTACACCTGGATTACATCATTATTTTAGATACAGTTTCATGTAATTCTACTCCCTTTCTGTTACGGTAACATAGGTGTAACAAATGGTATCTAGCTCTCATTAAATATGTTTGGATTTTTTATTTTTTGGAATGATCTCATATGACAACATTTCTTACTGTGAGGCAGTTCTGCAAAGGAATAAGCTCATTCACTATAAAGTAATTTTTATTAGTGACTGCAACTGACCTTTTTTTTCCTGTTCTTATCTCCAAATTCCAAAGGCACCATATTACAGCCCCATGAATGTCCTGAAGCAGGCTGGGGTGCCTCATCCCTCAGGATTAGAATTTTGTATATAGCAGTTTCTTAATGGACGTTTATAGGGTTTATAAGTAAACTTGATAAATAAATAAGAAAAACAAAAGAAATTATTTGGGAAAGTAGTTCTCTTTTGCTATTGTCTGCTTTTACTCCCCTCTGAATTAAAGTGGAAATGTTTCTTCTTTTCTTTTTGACACTAACAAAATTAATTTCTTTCCAGCAAAGGTCAGTGACCTTGTGGTAGGTGCCTACAAAGCAATAAAAGCAAAACTGCCTCTGACACTAAGAAGTATGTCATTGTACCTCTCCAATAAAGATACCGAGTTCATCTTGTTTAAACCGGTTAGGGTGAGTGTTGTGATAATTTATTTGAATGTTGATCAGTCTCTTGAAATGTGCTAACCTTGTCTGCTATTTTCCGTCTCCTCTAGAGCTTTTAAAATATTGATACACTAATATAATGAATTGATGAATAATCACTGTGATTCTTGACAGACCTAAAAAATCTGTATCTGTCTGATTATGCCCTTTTTTCCCACCTTCTCTTTATCTTACCGTTTGACACTAAGGTAATTCCCATATTAAAGTAGAAAATATTAAATGAAACAGAAAGTCAGATGCTCACATTGGATGTGGCTCAGCACTTGAAGGAGTAGCTTTTCAGGAATTATATCTCATTTTACTAGTGAATAATTATATCTCATTTTGCTAGTGGGAATAAATGACTGCAGTAGCCATCAAGGGATTGAATGTCAGAACAAATTTAGTGCTCATAACTTCCAGCCTGTGTGGAGCTCACATCTTTACCCAGTGCTTTGGTTGATTTTTAAGTCACATTTTATATGTCTGGGAACTTTATTATCTTTTTTGTAAGAAATTGCTAAATAGATTTATTATTCTCTAAATGATGCTGGGAGGTGGGATCTCAGTGCTTCCTAGAGTTAAGTTTTTCCAGGAAGTACTATCTGATACATCTTAGTCAGATTGAGTTAGCCTGTGAAATACTAAGTGCAAATTATATGTTTTTGGTAATTCCATGAAAGATACATTTCCTCCTCCTCCTTATATTTTGGCAAATATAACTAAGATTTAATATTCTTAGTTCACATTTGAGACAGCAGCATATATTTTCAGGGACTCACTTAACATATCATCCTTTTCTTCTTTCTAAGAATAATATTCAGCAAATCTTCCAGAAGATCCATGTTTTGTTAAAGGAAGAGTTCAGCCCTGATGAGGTGCATGTCATTAATTGTCCTACTATGGAACAGGTAAGCCAGAGTTTAAAAGTCTTGGTTACTTTCATTTGTTCTTAGTTTTTTACTTAGGTAAATATCCCACCAGCACATCACATTTTTAAAAAATGTCTGTGACATTTTTATTTTTAAAAAATGGATCATATTTTTAAAAAATGTCTGTGACAGTTCTAGGGTCGTATTGTCAACAATTATTTTCTGTATGTTTATAACATTAACTTGATAGCAGTTATGTTTGCTTTTTATATTTAGAATTTTATCCCTGTTGTGATTGGTTCTATTAATTGCATAAAATGTTTATATGGTTCCCAAGTTGGAATTACAGAACAAGATAAATTTGGAGAGTCTTCCTTCCTTTTCTGGTTGCCCCCAGCCTTTCCCTCTTTGTCTCTATTTTTTTTTTTTTTAAAGATTTATTTATTTGCACATACAGAACTGGGGTACAGGCCAGAGGCTCAGGGGCGGTGAGAGGCTTCACCAGAGACAGAGTGGGGAGCAGAACAGGCAGATCGACGAAGTACACTGCTGAGGGGAGCAGTGGGCGGGCCAGGAGAGGTCTGCCACGCCATGTGGTCACCTCCGGGGCAGGCGGGAATCGAACTCATGCAGAAGTGGCTTTAGTTTCTCAGTGCTGTGCTTTAACCCGCTGCGCCACCAGGGAGGGCCCTCTTTGTCTCTATTTTTACTTGCTATTGGATTCTCCTTCCTTTATAAAAAAAAAAAGGGGGACGTGGTGGAGGAGTTACACGTTTGTATGTAAATGTGGGAAACCCAAAAAGGGTACTGGAAAATGTCTTGTTTGGAGAGGAGGCTCAAGAGTAGTTGGAGGGTAGAGGCTTTGTTACGTGCTGAGGGGCTCATTTGTGGAAGGACTGTTAGGACCATTGTGTGGGAAGGCTGTGGATATGGGGCAAGCCCATAGAAGCACTATCTGACTGCTTCACATTTGTTAGTGACTCAAGAAGCAAGGAATCTCTGATTGTGAGGTGCTAAGGATTTGAGGAAGACTTAGTTGAGTTTAGCAGTTATGAATCTGAAAAAACCATACGATGTAGTTGTCCCTTCCCTCCTTCCCAGTTGTAGTTAGTTGCATGAATGTAGATTTAGGGTAGCTTGTGAAATACAAGGCTGTGATTTTGCCAGGAAATTACATGGGGACATTGGAGTTAAATGTTTAAACACGGAAGAGATAACTATTGCCATGGAATTTAAACAGATGAGGAACTTGAAGGCAAGAGGGTCTTAAAGTAGGAAGATTTGTGGATTGGAGGTTTTGGTAGAGTTAAAAAATTGTTGGAATTAGAGTATGAGGGGACGATGAACTGGGCAGATTATGGTTACCAAAGAGTGAGATGTTTGGCAACAAAATTATGTAAGGGGTGCAGTATGAGGTACAGATAAGGGTTAGGATAGCCCATTGAATAAATAGTTGAAAATGGGATCAGTGGGGGAAAGAAACCATAGCATTGAGAAACATCTGTTTAGGTGGTGGAATCATCAAGAATTCCTGCAGGAGTAGTTCTAGAAAAGAGTGCTAGTGCAGGCCTCCCTGATGACACAAGGGGTTAAGTCTCAGCACTATGGAACTGTTGGCAGCCACTGCAGCATGTGTTCGATCCCCACCCTGGAGGTGACCCACATGGCCCAGCAGACCTCTCCTGTCTTGCCCCATACTCCCCTCAGCAGTGTATTTCAGTCAATCTGCCTTTTGTGCTCCTCACTCTGTCTTTGGTAAATCCTTTCACTTCCTGCACGTCTGGCTTATACCCCAGTTCTTTTGTACATAAACAAATAAATCTTTAGAAAAAAAAAAAAAAGAGTGCTAGTACTCTGAAACCTTGCAGGTGTACAGGGCTAGTGAGGAGAGAGGAGATTTTGCTGATGATTGACTGCGGGTCCAGGGGAGCACAGCCGAAGGCTACAGGAGTTCAGAGGGTTTGACCTTGAGGTTGGAAAAGATACTTGTGGGTCATAGAATCTGGGGGTGAGGGATGACTTGGGGTTCCTGGGCTTCTTGTTGGAGGTGATGTAAACATGGATGAAGGCATGAGGAGAGTGCTATGCTGGAAGAAAGTAAAGGGGAGTGTGCCAAGAAGATGCAGGTTTCCTAGGCTTCCACTTGACTTCTGCCAGCGAGATGTATGTGTGTGTGTGGGTTGTATAAATAATATTACTTTTTTTTGTTATTTAATTTCAAATTTACAGAAAAAATATAAAAATGGTAATGGTGTTTTGCCCCGTTTGCTTTATTATCATTGTTTTTTCTCTCTTTTCTCTCTCTGCTTATTCCCAGACTTCTTTTGAGTCATTTGATGGAATGTTAGGAGATGGAGTACTCTTCTGCTTTCATAGTTCATTGTGTTTCCTAAGACGGGGATCCTCTGCATAGTCCCTCTGTCCTTTGCAGAGTACTTCCCGTCCAGGATCATGCTTAGTGTCAGTTGTCAGAGTTCTTTATTTTTTTTCTTTTTCTCTTTTTTTTAAAGTGGGGCATCTATGCCACCTTTTTTGGCTATCTTGATTTTGATAAGACAATTATTTTATAGATTGTCCTTCTATTTGGTGTCAATTCTTCATAATTGGATTCCAGTTTGTATTTTTGATAGGAAAAAACAGGTCATTTTGTATCTCATGCAAATGTATAGATGAGGTTAGTGGGTGTTTTTTTTTTTTTTAAAGATTTATTTATTCATACAGAACTGGGGTACAGGCCAGAGATGCGGAGGGTGAGAGAATTCACCAGGGACAGAGCGGGGGCAGAACAGGCAGATTGACAAAGTACACTGCTGAGGGGAGCAGCGGGCGGGTCAGGAGAAGTCTACCGCGCCATGAGGATCACCCCCAGGGCAAGCGGGATCGAACTCATGCGCAAGTGGCTTAAGCTTCTTAATGCAATGCTTTAACTGCTACGGCACCAGGGAAGGCCTAGTGGGTGATTATTTTGATTACCAAAACAGTCTATAATATATAGAAGGGTTCATTTACCAGGCTCATTTAACTGCAAGTCTCCAGGCCTGGGCAGTAGATTTGAGGTTGCAGACTGGCAGGAAATCTCTGTGTCACCCTTTCCTTTACAGAATGGGCAGGGCACACCTGAGTTAGTGAGTGAGCCTAACACTCACTGTTGTGCCTTGCTTGGTTCTTGTGGATTTGAGAATCATTTAGAGAATTCAGCTTACCCATAATTTATGGGTAAAACACACTGCACAAGAAAAGGTGAAATTGATGATTTAGCTCTATTTCTGTCCCTTGTCAGTGTTGGTAGGTATTTTTTTCTGTCGATCTCATTGGACTTTATGTGAGTTGAAGGCCTAGGTTTGGTGCACGTGTTCACTGGTCCACAGACAAGTAAGTTAGCCCAAGAAGAACTAACAGAGCCTTTTATTTTGCTTTTCAGCTGAACCTCACACTATCAGCTTCTAAATAACCGGGCCGGCCAGGTTGTGTGTGTCAATGGTGTGTCTGGTAGGAGTGATGTGAGACGTCTGCAGCCTGCGGGACACTGAGGAATCAATCGTAGGTGGAAATGTCCCTGAGAACCACACATGCGTGCTGCTCGGTGTTCTCTACAAGCTGAAGTATAAGCAAAGTGTTGAAAGATTGGTGTTTCTCTTTTGAAAACATCAGAATGCCAAAGATTAATCTCTGAATGGTGAAAAGAGGCAGCTAAGATGGGCACACAGTGAAATGGTTCTTAGCAGGGGATATGCAGTGACAGTAGATTACAATAAGTAGTGCAAAGAACACTCGGAAGTACAGTTCATTAGGAAGCTTCTAAGAATAGTATTTGTTCAAGCGTGAAACAGTGCATCACTTTTAACCACTGAGCATTCCACAGTGACTGTTTTTTTACTTCCAGAAATGTTATTTCTAGAATCTATTTAATGTTTCTATTACCCCTTTGAAGTTTAGTTTGGAGTAGATAGGATACTTCTGAGAACACATTCTGCTTTCTTGGGAATTCCGAGTGTTCTCTTTGTTTGTTTGATGTGAGATGGTTTCAAGGTGCAGGGACCTCAGGTAAGGCGCCAGTATCTGTTTTTGAATTGCTAAGGTGCAGAATAGAAAGTTCAAAAGCAGGGAGCTACAGCCTCCTCCTCACGGATATGAGTAGTATCTGTAGTGAGTCAGTGTTTGTGAGTGAGAAGTACCAATTAAGGAGTCTTAAATCTAGCACATAAAAGAAAGGAGACCTGCTACCAGTGTATCTCCTGCACGGAGGTGAGGTCACCAGCCACCTGAACACTGCCTTCGGTTTTTGTAGTCCTCTCAGAAGTGAACACTTCATGTCCTGTGTAATCAGTGGCTGTGCTGTGTCCCAATCTTGTGGATCTCTAACACTGCTACAGTAGAATACATTTTACTAACAAGACATAGAGTGGGTGTGCAGACTGCCCCCCTCCTGCCAGCCTGTCACACTATCAGGGATCATTAAATAGATTATGCACATAAGACTTTTCTGATAAATATCTGTTCTGTGATTGGATTAGTTTTGCTTCTGGGTTATAGTAAATGTCTGTTTTTTGGGTCAAAGAGAATTTTGAGTATTTAAAACACTAGTCTAGAGATAGAACATTGATGAGGGGTCTGGAATGTTGCCAGCAGATCTTGTGACTCATCAGTGACTCACTCATTGCCCCTGATGTGGTGGCATTTCTCATCCCCTTCAGGCAGGTTTCAGTGGTATGTAGGTAGGTTACATATCCTGACATCTGTCATTTTAAACAGGTCACTTTAAATTAAACTCAGTTTAAACTGGTAATGGGTATTGCTCAATTGAACTTAGACTCAATATTTTGGAAAGGTAGACAGTAAAGAGTGACATGAATGAGTTATAGGAATGGTGTTTACTTCCACTTGCTATTTTGAACATTTAATGAAATAAACTGTAAAATACTGAGTTTTGTGTATTATATGTACATTTTATATTTTAATAGCCTTTCCAAAGAAATGAGGGCATGATTATTGTATAATCTGTGATTGATTTAATTTGATGTACAGAGCAGAGTGTGTTCTTACGGATAAAAATATTTGACAGCGCTTCTTGTGTTTTGAGTCTGTTATTTCTGAAACACTGAAATACCTACCAAGCTGAGTGATGGTGATCCAAGTTTTTTGTTAAATCATTTGTTTAAATCTGTACAGTTCAAGTGTTTACTTATACAAAGAGTGTATATACTTTCAAATAATTAATTTAAAATGCTTTATATTACTTGAATAGAAATTACTGTTTTTAATAAATGTGCATTTTTAAAAAATAAAGATTTTTGCTTCCCACCATGTGTCTGTTTACATTTGTGGATTCTTATATTTTTTACTGAAATTTTTATCAAGAACTTATAGATTCACATACAGTTATAAGAAATGATACAGAGGGAACCCTTGTATTTTCACTCAATCAGCTTCTCCCAATCTTAACATTTAAAAAACTGTAATACAGTGTCCCAAGCAGGAGGCTGACAGTAGTATATGCTACCAGTCTTACTCAAACTTCCCCAGTTTAATCTGTACTATGTTGATTCCTCTGGCAAGATAGTTATTTTGGAAAGACATTTTTGAAGCATATTTTTTCTTTGCAAAACTGCCAGTTTCTTGAGCACTTTCAACTATTTATTTGTATAGTTGTGTTGAAATTTAGTAATAGCAATAAAAACAAATAGGTATCTTCCCTGTGGTTTGACATCATTTCTTTAAATGCTGGCCAGCATTTACCTTACAAGTAAGAAAGAATAGTCAACTTTAGTTTTTGAAAAGGGATCATTTAAAAAATATTATTTATGGGACCCTCCCTAGTGGTGCAGCAGGTTAAAGCACAGCACTAAGAAGCTAAAGCCACTTCAGCATGAGTTCCATGCCGGCCCGGAGGTGACCCACATGGCGCGGCAGACCTCTTCTGACCTGCCCGCTGCTCCCCTCAGCAGTGTACTTCGTTGATCTGCCTGTTCTGCTCCCCACTCTGTCTCGGGTGAATCATCTCACCGCCCTGCACCTCTGGCCTATACCCCAGTTCTGTATAAGTAAATAAATCTTAAAAAAAATATTATGTATATATTTTTTACGTCATTGTTCATTTTTGTACAATGTTTGCTTTCTCCTCTCAGGAGTTGTCCCTGTGAAAGTCCCACCACCACATCACCTGTGCTCTATCACCATAGTCTCTTCCCTCCCGTTTTGATTCCTCTCCCTTTCCTATCCTGCAGAGTGTCTCTGATTTCTAGTCACCTGTTAATTTTGGCTATTTATTATTTTTTCCTGATCCCAACTTATTTGGTTCCCTTATATTCTTCCAATAAATGAAGCCATCTGTTATTTTTCTTTTTCTTTCTGGCTTAATTTCACAGAGTATAATTGAAAAGGGACCATTTTAAAAGAAACCTACGGATGTTGGATGAGGGCATGTTACTTCTCTAGCAAGAGGAACTTCATCCCTTCCTTGCTGAAGTATTTTTCTTCTGGTGGTGGTTCCTCCACTTACCTATTTTCTTTTTCTCAGTACCCTGTCCTGGCAAAAAGGAAGCGGCTGTTAGAATCATGGTTTAGTGGCTTCCTTTCAATAGTCACATGGTAAACACAGATGGTCCTCACTTGTATGATTTTTCAACTTAATTTCCAACTTGGTGTGAAGCAAAATGTGCTTTGAATTTTGATTTTTTCCCCCGGCTACTCAGGTAGTAGCACATTCCCTCGCCCAGCCAGCCACACTGCTCACCCTCTCTACCTATCAAGAGCCTTGCGCACAGTCAGTAGAAAGTTTTACTTCTAACTTGAGCAGGAAAGGACATTATCGGAGAACTTGGGCACAGGCCAGACACTGGAGGACCAGAGGGATGAGAACAGGAGTAATCAAAGACCCATTTTTTCTCTCAAAGCAAATATTCAGACTCCACATCTGTTTCAGATCCTGGCCTGGGCACCACTGTGTCATCTTGACCAAGCTAAGCTCTCACTGGTGTGTTGGGGGTGAGGAGGGAGAGAAGGGGGAAATGTTCCATTCTTCAACTGAATGCCAGAACAGAGAGGAGGAGAAGGAGGGTTCTGTGTGCCAGTCATCAATTTTTTACTTGTTTTCAGATTGCAGAACTGTAGCCTGAGAACTGCTGTCCTTTGGTGCAGTTACTAGACTGTAGGGCTGTGCAGGTGCCCCACAAGGCATAAGGAAAGGGGTTGTCTCTGATGTGTTTGTTTTTCCTTCTTTGTGGTAGCTGTCAGCAGGGTGTGGGCATCTGGCGACACTTCAGCTTTCCTGGTATCCCAGTTGGAAGTTGCTTGTGAACCAGCTTCTACACCTTTGCAGCCACTGCTGTGTGCCAGCTCCAGCTCCCCAGCCCTCAGTGCCCTGCCCACCTGCCTGCTGCCTTCAGTCACACCTCGCAGCAGTGTGTGAATGACTGGTCGGGGCTTGCAGGATAAATGTAGATGGTCAGGCTTTTAGGCTAGCATCTGTGACTATCACCTGCAGCCTTGAATGCAGGAGGTGCTGGGGAGGCGGTGAGGGGCACGCGTGCCTGATGGCGGATGCGTGGAGTGGGTGTGCGCATGCGTAAGTGGGCACAGCTGAGCCTGGAGGCTGCGGCCATGAGGGCAGCATTACTCAGCCAGGAAAAATGTCCACTGCAGAACAACTACGAGAGGATGGTGACTACTGAGAGGTAGGACCAGGGGACAACACTGGAAAGGCCAAAGAGAGAAAGCGTACACATTTGCAGGTGTTCTGAGCCCAGCCAGCCTGCTGCACCCCTACCCCGCAGCTGCCTTGCCAGCACTTCAGACTTGCCCCACAATTCAAGCCTGGGAAGTCCCCTGAGGGCTCCAGGTCTCTCTTTTATCCATCTGCCCTTCTACGGGAAAGGAGAGAGGACCTGCCCGGTCTCTGCAGCCTTGGCACTGCAGGACTCTTAGGGGCAGGAGGGCAAAAGCAAGGGAGAAAGATCTGCAGCTTTTATTTGCTTTGCTGTCTTTCTTAGAGTTCTTGTAGTTCCCTTTTGGTATTAAGTTGTGAATAATTTATATTACATTTTCCCTGTTCAAATTACTGCTGTGGCGTCTGTGTCTTGACTGTGAGTGATACAACCTCTTAGTTTCTGCTGTGGGAAGCAGGGCACTGGGCCCCATTGATAAATACTCACAAGGGCTAATTCTCCCATATAGGAAGGGGCCTGCGGCTTGAAAAACCCACAGAGGATATAGTTGGCTAACGTATCTCAAGGTGCCTGTTCCTTCAGGTCTCTGCACAGACCTCCTCTCCCGGGTGACAGCATGAGTCCTACCCCACCCCACTGCAATTCTCAGCTCAGCTGATAGGCCCTCTCCAAGGGAATTGCTACAAGCGCTCGCCCATGGGACTGCGTTGCTGCTTCAGTGTTAATCTACAAAGCAATCATTTGTTTTGCTGCTTGCCTTACTAATCCCCACTCCTTAACCTTCTGAGGGGAGACTGCCTGCTCTTTTTTTCCTCAGAGGACCCTCAGCATGTGGAGGGGGCTTGGTGTATACTTGCTGCTTGGTCTAAGTAGTTACAGAGGACACACTTTGCTGTGGGCACTTGAAGAGGCCCTGTTGTGGGTAACCAGATAGGTTAGTACTAAATAAACAACACAACATAATTCATTTCACTTAGGGAGCAGAGCCTGCCAAGTCATTGAAGATAAAATTATGAATCTGAGAACTGTCTCCTGGGTGAAGGAGAGGACCTGGGAGGAGCCTGATGTGTAAGGCCGAGGGTGTTAGGGCTTAAGTTGTGTCCACAACTTGTTGAAATCCTAACCCCCGCACCTCAGGTTGTGACCTTGTTTGGAAATACGGTCGTAGGTGTGGTTCAGATGAGGTCCTGCTGGAGGAGGAGAGATGAGCCCCTAGTCCAGTGTAACTGGTGACTGTATAAAAAGGGAAATTTGACACAGGACACCAAGTAAAGCTCAGGCTGCTGCCATGAGCCATGTGTTGTGTAAGCAGCCTGCGACAGGTTCACTATCGATTTAAGCAGATGAATAAAGGAGTTCTGGAACCTTCAGTGGATTTTCAAGTTTTAATGCTTTCTCAGAGAACCAGGCACCACAGGCTGGGAGCGTGGGAGGGCAGGCAGGCAACTGAGCCTTTCAGCTCCCTACAAACCTCTACCTTTTTCTTTGAGCTCTCTGGCATTCTTTCATGATCTCCTCTCTTCTATAGTCACTCATCCTGGTAACTGCCTCCCATCTGTGAGTGACGTCTTCCATCTTTGACGCCGTCTTCATGTCTATGACCTCTAGGCGCAGGCGTGCCTAACTGCGCACGTGTGTGCGCCCATGCTGCAGGTGTCTACAATCAGGCATGCGTGCCCCATGCTCACACTCAGAAGCGCCTTCTGCGTCAACATGATCTAGGCTGCGTGGGATCGCCACAGAGGCTAGTGGCTTAAAACTTTGATCAGTTCATTTATCCTCCACCAAGGTCGTACCACTATATGTGAGAGGGGCCTGGAACACCCTTCCCTAGCACCTCCAGACCCAAACCCCTGGTCTTGGACATCTAGAGAGCCATGGTAGTTCTCATTCTAGTAACCTTAGTAGACCAGTCATTTCTGTCTTTTGAGACACCCAGCTTGTGGTCCTTTGTTGCAGTCACCCCAGAAAGCTAATATAGAGGATAGGATGTGAACTTATATCCCTGCTGGCCTTCTGGTTGGCTCCTTTCATTGTTTTCTGCCCAGCCTGTGAAGTATTCACTAAAAATAGCCCTTGACTATTTCATTATGTTCAGATTTTGGTCACAGAGCAATGGTTACAAGAGAAACTGGAAATCCATATTTTCATGTGAAGTCTTTTAAAATATTGGTAACAAAATATTTTCAAAGGAAGTTGACCCAGCAAAAGGCTACTGCCTTGCTACCTGTTTACAACTTCTGCATTAGTGGAATAATGTTTTCAGGTGTTCCTGAAGGAGAATGACCAGGGAGAAGAACTGGCTGTCAGTGCTGAGAGCCCACATCTCAGCACTGAGCTCTCCTGTAAACATCACCATAAGGAATGTGTGTTCTGTGACTGTCCCGTGACAGATGAGGAAACTGAGTCACAGAGGGGCTCACTAGCTTGCCCACAGCTAGGAAGCAGTGAGGCCAAGAACCCAATCCAGGGCTGTGTGCATACAGGCACACACACCTTCTGCTTCACAGTTGTCTCCCTCCCCCCTCTGATCTTCCTTCTGGCTCCAGATTTGAGGCCTGCTACAAGCTGGTGTTGGTTTGCTGTCATTTCCCTCTGCCCTGGCATGGGTGGAAGAGGGGTTTGTGATGAGGTTAGGTTTAGTGAGACTCTTCCCAGGTGCTATTTCTAGGCCCACTTTACTGCTGAGGAAATTGAGGCATACGCTCCTTGCTCAAGATCACACAGCCAACAATTGTCTAAGCTAGACTTTGAGACAGCCTGGGTTAGGTCAGGCATGTACAGGGAGGCTGCAAAAGGACTTCTGTGTTCAAGTGACCAGCTGACATGTGCAGGACATGTATGCAGATATTGGCATGTTGTCTACTGAGCTAACCTGCTTCTAATGCTGTTGGGTCACAGCTGATTTTTAAGTCTTTTTTGTTTGTGATCAGCCACACATTCTGTCAGCCTCCTGAAAATACTGGTTTTTTGTTTTGTTTTGTTTTTTTAATCAAGGCGCTGTGACAAATTTCAAACCAACTCTTTAAAGACCTGATGGCTCCTCATTCTGAAACAGCCTCTGGTCGCTGGAGAAATCCTTGGACCATTTGGTGGATGAGATATTAGATCCTTTCCTCAGATTCCCGTCACTCATTAGCAAGATGCTGGTGATATCGATGAAGTTTTCCAAGTCAGATATGGTCAGGAAGTTTAGGATCTTGCTCATTTTTCCCAGAAGGATCTGGATCCTTCGAACCATTGAATCTATTTCCACTTCTAGGATTGTTTTCTTCTTCATTTCACTCAAAATCCTTTGGGGTATAAACTGTGAGAATTCATGGAAGACTAGGTGAGGACAAACAGCCCAGCACTGTGCTCACCCCACTCACACCCCTGTGTCTGAGACTGAGTCTTCCTTAGAAGCTTCACTCTCAGGGCTTAAATGTCTGTGGCTGCCTGAACACACCCTGTCTGTGCCTGTGGTCGCCCTTGTCTGACCCCAAACCAAAGTGTTACCAGCTTTTTGGCCCTGCTGCTGTTCCCTCTTGGTGGCACGGGGTCCTTTCCATGGGGTGGGGGAGACCAACGCCCTGCCACAGCCAGAGGCCATCAACAGTATCTGCCTAGCAGTTCCATGTCCACCCCAATCTCCTTGGAGTGTGTTTGGGTTTTGCTGACAGGAGGCATGAATCCTGAGAAGTCACCTCTAGGACAAGTTCTGCTTTGGTCTGTTGCCTGCAGAAGGCCAAGTCGGGTTCCCTGGAGGTGGGTAACAACGAAGGATGAACCAGTATATTCTATTCCTGTGAGGTATTCAGCTCATGAAATGTGTTCACACAGAGAATCTTATTTAAGCCTTTTTTTTACAGAGAACAACATGCTCAAAAGAGAGCAAGAGTTCAACCTGCTGCCATGCAGAAGGCAGGTGTGAGAGGGTGTGGCCCTTCCAGAGCAGTCCTGCTGCTTGGCCTGGCCAGACCCTGCTGACCTGTCACAATTGCAGATGTGCTACCTTGAGGCCCACATGCTGGGCCTGGGCTCACAGTTCCTCCCTAGACAGGGAGTCACACATAAGTCATTCAAAGGTGGGTGGCCCAGACCTCTTAGTTGCACTGTAGTGTGGAGGGACAAAGGGCTGCCTGGAGATGGTAGTGTGCCTGGGCTTTGCTGGCTGCTGTCTGGGCTATCCGGGGTAGGTAAGGGAGTTGGGGTATTTTCAGCTTGTAAAATGACAGGGCTCTCAGGCAGGGCAATCTAGTGTGACCAGCTGTCCAGGTCTGCTCAGAAGTCCCATGTCCTGGAAATCCTCTCAGTTCTGGGAACATTGGTGTGAATACTTAGTCAGCCTAAGCCTACCATGCTGCCTCTTCTCCTCTCAAGTCATAATCAGGTAGCTTAATTTTGCCAGAATCTTCTGTTTGGCTGCTTGCTCTACTTCTCTATGTCTTCCTTACCCACCAGGTACCACATCTGTCTGTCTAGAATGGGGGTGGGGAAGGGGAGCTGGGGCAAGAATATGATCTTGTGTGGGGAGACCAAGGAGATTTGTAGTCCTCGTCTTGACTCTGGTCCTTAGGAAGGGGCTCAAGAACCCATCTTCTTGTTTATAGTCAGACCCTGTTCAGACTAACCATTTTTCAGTCCCCCCAAAGTATGTCTAAGTCATTTTTCCTAGCAACTGGGAATTTAATTGCATTTAGAAATGGGGCCTTTATAGATGGATTTGGGTAAGGATGCTAGGATGTGGTCATCCTGGACCTTGGATAGCCCTAAATCCAGCGGTTGGTGTCATAAGAGAACATGGAGATTGAGACACAGAGAAGCTCTTGTGAACACGGAGGCAGAGTGCAGGGGCTGCAGGCAAGCTGAGGAGCCCCTGGAACCATAAACTGCCGAAAGACAGGCCTGAACGGATTCTCCCTTAGTTTTTGGAAGGAACAAGGCCCAGCTGACACCTGATTTCAAACTCCCAACCTTTAGAAATGAGAACACGCATTTCTGTCATTCTTAGCTACCAGTTGTTGCAGGCTGAGAAGATGAATATACCTCAGCAGCTTTCATGCCCACGCTAACCAGAGTGCCTGGAACTTCCAAGTGATCATTTGTTTTGAGCATATTTGGGGAGGAAAGAAGAGGACCCCAGTCACAGGGCCAGAGACACAGATTTTCCTTGCTTCTGTCCCTGCCACCTGTTGTCTATCTGAGTGTCAGGTAGAAAAATGCATGTGGCCATCTTTGGTTGTCTGGCTCTTGGTTGAGCTCTTTGTGGATGATCCTGTCCTTGGAGCCGAGCCTAGTGTCCTGGTGTTCGGAAGTCATACGAATGCCTCTGTATACAGCCAGGCATCAGGTCCGTGAGGAGGCCTGGTTTCCTACAGTTGGAGTTGTGAAGAATGTGGTGTGGAGGCCCGTGACATGGACCAGTCCCAGCCAGCAGTGGCCTGGGGCCAGGTGGATGCCCTCCTGGCAGAGGGTGTGGGGAGTTGAGACCTTACCTTGTACTTGGTGCCCAGGTTTAAACAAATCCGCTGCTCTTGGTGGGCAAAGCAGAACATGATATTATCGTGGCTCCTTACTTGTACCTTGATGTACTTGTTGATTTCCAAGGAGATGGAGAAGACCGGGGGTGCGTGGACATGGATGGTCAGGTTCCACCAGTTCCAGGCCTTCTGGAATTTGCCTTTGGGGAAGTAGTAGCCCAGGTTCTGACTCAGACTCAACCTAGAACAAGAGGGTGTCAGGCAGCCACAGTGCTTGGCTCCAGGGGTGAGGATCACGGCCTCTCCTGGGGCAAAGCAGGCCTGCTCCTTGTCCTCCTTGGTCTTTATCTTCTCTCCTTTACCCACAAACAAGCCCCCAGTGTTGTGGCAGGCGTGAGGAGTTCCCATAGGCAGGCCAACTCAATACCAGGCACTGCCTTTCAGCCATGGCAGGGTCTGAGCTCTTGTCTGTGCTGGCTCCTCACTCCTGCTGTCTCCATTCAGTTTCTGGGTCACGTGTGTTCTTTCCTCCCTCCTCACTGCTACTCCATGTGCATTGTGTGAATGTTCCCAGTAACCTTTCTATCTCTTCTTAAGTCACCATCTCATCTCAAAAAAGCTATGTCCGATAGTCCCTCAGGTTCCCTATATGACTTCCCATCTCTGTCCCTTGACAGCTCCCTTCATATGATGTATTAATTATAGATATATTTGCTGCATATCATTTACAGTTGAGTCTCATTTTTCACAGTAATTCTATAAAGTCAGCTCAAGTACTGAATGAGCAAATACTGAACACATTGACGTGGGGTTAATATATGTATGTGTCTTCACAGTTCACACTGAGAATCTTAAATCCTAAACACTCCATCCAGTAGACTCTATTTTATTTATTTTATACAAGAGAAAACAAGGTCCAGCAGTGCTAGCAGCTTGCCTGAGGCAGCCTCCCTCACACAGCTGGAGTTGGTGGAGCCCCATCTGGTAGCCCCAGAGCTGGAGTTTCTCCCACTGCAGCACCCGGCCCTTTCCATCTCCATCTCTGCTCACCTCGGTGGGGTGTGAGGCACAACTGTTCAGCCTCAACTGGGAACATGTACATCAGGACACTCAAAATGTTCACTGCTCTGCACATGTTTCTCTCTCCCTACACACACACTCACTCTCTCTCCCCACCAACAACACACAACTTTCTTTCTCCCTCCAACACATATATACTCTCTCTTCCTACTACACACAGTCTCTCATCCCTGACACACACACACTCTTTCCCACCCCCGACACACACAGCTCTCTCTCTTCCTACACACACATACACGCACATCCTTTCTCTGCTGACACACACACTCTCTTTCCCCTGACACACACACACACACACACAAACTCTCTTTCACACCTGGCATACACACACACACTCTTTTTTTTTTTTTTAAGATTTATTTATTTATTCATACAGAACTGAGTTACAGGCCAGAGATGCAGAGGATGAGAGGATTCACCATAGACAGAGTGGGGAGCAGAATAGGCAGATTGATGAAGTCCACCACTGCTGAGGGGAGAAGCGGGCGGGTCAGGAGAGGTCTGCCACGCCCTGTGGTCACCTCGGGGCAGGCGGGAATCAAACTTATGCGGAAGCGGCTTTAGCTTCTCAGTCCTGTGCTTTAACCCACTGAGCCACCAGGGAGGGCCACACACACACACACTCTTAACCCCCCCCGGTACACATACATAACACAAACACACACACTCCCCCCTCCGTTGTCCCCCCGGGAGCAATGTGTTCAGCATTTGCTAATTCAGTGCTTGTGGAGACCTGACGTGTAACTCTGATAACCAACATCCACGCACAGCCGCGAGTCTCTCCACAAGGGAGCAGTGTTCTGAGGAATGCGTCATCAAGGCTGCAGTCACTGGCCCATGTCAAGGTTGCACTTACACACCCTCAGTGGCACAGTCTCCCCCAGGCCTGGTCTACAGAGGGGCCACTGTCGTACATGCAGTTCAGATTTGACAACATGCTTTGGGGTGCATGAGCGGACTTTTGGTGTGTGAGTGCTTATTGTGTGTTTCCCAAACTGAAATGTAAATGTCCTGGTTCCAAGGGCAGGATTCCCTGGGAATCCATGGTTGTGAAACGATTAATTCCATTTCAGCAAAACTGCCAAGGCAAGAAGAGGGCTGGTCCAGGCAAAGACCTGATAGCTGAGAAGTTAGAGTTTCTGGGGCCGGAGCCCTGGAGGCAAGGCTGGCTGGGAGATGAGACTGAAACTCCGGTGACCGCTGGCCCCGGACAGGGCTTGGGAGTGGGGCCATTTCTTCAAGTTGAAGACTTCCTGGGAGTCCCAGAAAGGGTCTAGGATGTCAGCATAACCCACCATCTACTGCTGAGAGGGCTCCCTGAGGGTTTTGATGAGACGATAGGATGGATTCCCTTAGAGTCCCTGGTTTTTATCTTCTGGCCCTGGGAGACAGGCAGTGGGGGGCACACTAGCTTGGGCTCTCATACCCAACTGATCTGGGGGATCCCTGGGAAGCTTATGGAGAATTCAGATTCCTGGGTCCCACCCCAGACCAGCAGAATCAGAATCTGAAGAGTAGACCTCAGCTCTCCACCAGCTTTAAGCTCCATTCTGATGGCCTGAGATTCAAGGGTAAGGTGTGGTATTCCTTGCGTGCCTTATTTGATACGTTTTTAAAAATATTTATGCAGACAAGAACTGGGGAACAGACCAGACATGTGGAGGGTGAGAGGATTCACCAGAGACAAAGTGGGAAGCAGAACAGGTGGATTGACTGAAACACACTGCTGAGAGGAGCAGTGGGCGAGACATGAAGTCTATTGTGCCATGTGGGTCACCTCCCTGGCCAGGGATGCAGCTCATGCTGCAGTGGCTGGGGATAGTTTCATAGTGCTTGCTTTAACACTATGAGCCACCAGGGAGAGCCCATGTGTGATACATTTTTATAAAAATATTTTATATTAGTCTGAGGCTCCCCCAGGAGGTGTCATTGGGAAAAGGAGCTGCCCTAGTAGCCAGGCACTGTTTTTGGATCATTCACAGAGTTTCCTGTCCTCACTCATTGTTGCTCCTAGTACTCAGTGCTTTCTTCACTGTTCAGACCTCAATGACTCTGCAAAGAGGACTCTGAGAACAAAGCAGTCAAGTGGGGAGTGGCTGGAAAACACTGATAGCAGAGGAAATAGCCTTAAAGACTAAGGCCTGCAGAGTGAACATTCTTGTTCAGAATGAAAAGGGAAAAAAGTTTGGCATTCACTATCAAGAAGAAAGTACAAAGTTGATCCATGCTGTAACATGTATTTCCCAGGGTCTGGCCACTGAGGAGGGAAAGAGGAAGAGGGATCATGAAAAGTCAGAGCATTTACTTGAAGAGATGGGATATTCTTAAAGTGACTGAATGACCTTGAATTGGTGAAATGAAGTGTTCTACCATTTTCAGAAATGGAGATTGAAATTTAGTCTGGCACAGTGACATATTTAGAAGTTGCATTTTTGTTACAATACATGCATGGGTCTACAAAGCACTCACTATGCCATCTTTTCCCACACCTCAGAACAGAGGGGGTCCTGTGGCTTTCTAAGATGGTTCCCACAAGTTTTAACTCCCAGGAGGCGTGGAGGAGATGAAGGCAGTAGAAGTGGTTGTGTGATTCTGTGGTTCCATTTCACCCATAGGGAAGCAGTGGTGGGGGAGGACAGTGTCCCTTCACTGAAGTAAGGGATTTGTCATGTTGGTCCATCATGATACCAAAAAGCATTACTGAGAGAGAGAGAGAGAGAGAGAGAGAGAGAGAGAGAGAGAGAGAGAGAGAGAGAGAGAGAGAGAGAGAATGAATGACTTACCCAGTGAGGGCAGATGGTCATAGAGACTGGGACCTGGGGACCCCCCAAGCCCTTCTCCATATGTGGGACTCAGACCCAGGCTTACCACATTTCTTTGTCTTCATCATAAAAGGTGGCATGACCATTGTTGTCAATAAGGGCCCGGAGATTCTGTTTTCTACTGTCTTCCAGAATGATGTATGTGAATTTTCCCTCTTTGGTACTGAGGATGAGCAAAGCCAGATTTCCTGATGGATAACTGGGAGATGGTTAAGGTACAAGCAGTCCCTTGGGGGCTCTGGATAAGGCCAAGGCCTGCACAGGTACAAACCTCAGCCAAAACCATACCCCAGCCCCAAATCACAGACTTTTTAGGGACTACATGTGTCAAAGGAAGTGTCCCTGTTCACCAGTGGATACTGTATCTGGCCCGATCCATCAGGAAAGATAATTTGGAAGACATTCTTACTGGGGTAGAGAATTATTTTTGCATCATCATGTACCTAGGAAGAAAAGACAAGGCTATGAACAGTGTAGTGTGGCTGGCTGCCCCTGTGCAGAGCTCAGCTGGTCACTAGACTGTGGAGGGCCTTTGCCCTGGTCCCCCCCTGCCTACAATGTACTCACCCCAGGTATCTTCATGGCTCACTCCCTCATTTCATATATACCTGTGTTCAAATAGCAACCCCCAATTGCTCTAGGTATAAAAAATTCCTTTTAGTATAAGCACTTGAAAAAACGTATACACCTTAGGTTATACTCATTAATTCCATGGCATCTGACAACATTTGACATAGCATTGAACATTATTTTTGTACACTGACTATCTCCTAAACTAGAATGTAAGTTCTACGGATGCAGAGACATTTTTTGTTCAGCCTTGTATCTCCAGCACCTAGGAGAAAGCCTGGAAGGTTCTCAGAACTTATCTATGGAAAGCACAAATTCTATCACATCTTCTTATTCCCACTTCAGTGCTTCTATTTTGAGCATCAGACCTGATTATTAGCATATTCTCCATGGCGAATATTTTGAGACTAGTTTTCACTTTATCACATCCATCTATATTTTTAGACTGTTTTTTAGAGCACGTCACAGCAAAATTGAGCAGAAAGTAGAGATTTCCCACATACCCTCTGTCCCAAATATGCTATCTACATCCCATACCACAGTATACATTTATGACATTCAATGAACCTACACTGACATGTCATAATCATTCAAAATCCACAATTTACATTAGGGATCACTCTTGGTGGTATACAGCCTATGGTTTGGACAAATGTATAATGACATATAGCCACTAGGATAGTATCATAAGGAGTATTATCACTGCCCTAAAAGTCTATTCATCCCTCCCCTGAGCCTCTAGGAGCCACTGATCTTCTTACTATTTCTATAATTTTGCTTTTCACAGAATGTCATATAGTTGGAATCGTATCTGAGTATGTATCCTCCGATTGGCTGCCTTGACTTAGTGTGATGTATTTAAGTTTACTCCATGAATTTTCAAGCCTGATTGCTCATTTAATTTTAACACGGGATAATATTCCATCATCTGGATGTACCACAGTTATCCATCACCATGTAATTGATTCTTGATATGGATTTAAAATTTATTAGTGGGAAGGACTTATGCAGATTGATATGTATTTCCTCTTTTACTTCACGCTCTGTCTCATCCTGCTGTCTAATACAGGACCTGCAGGGAGAGGGGTCTCAGTGAACTCTAGCAAACATCCTCATCCACCTGCCAATGCCCTCATGCTCAGGTGTGCCTCCGTGTACTGGACACACTTTTCTTGTTTGCATTTATGTTGGTTTTCATCCTGATAACTCCCTGATGGTATGTGAGTGTCTCTGCTGAGCCAAAAAGTGCACAAGGTGAAATTACCAATGTCCCTGCGCTCACCTTAAACATGTTCTCTATGACCTCTGTTTCTATTTCTGATTTCTTCTTGTGCTGAAGATGAGTTTTTTTGACTTTTGCGCCAGGATCTTCTGTCTTCTCCATGGTTGATTGTGATATATTCGATAATTGATATGTTAATGTATTATCAGTAATTTTAGGGAGATCTAAGGTGGAAAAGACCATGAAAATTAGATCTTTCTCTCTGAAGGTGCCAAAGAGAGTTTGAGGGCATGGAATATCAGTCATACACCTGCAAATAAGGAAAGCTGCCAGGTAGTAGAAAAAGTAAGCTTTTGAATAGAGAAATGCAGGGAGTTGATTTCCCAGCTCATTCATTTTTTTCCTCATAAAACTTTTTGCTAAAGCTTTTCTAAGTTTTCTTACAGCATTTCACTTAGTTTTTATTCAAACAAGTTTCTTTTTAATCTTCATTTTGTCCACTTTTGTAATGACTGATATTAGGAACTAAGTCAAGTCTGCAGAGGAACAATCCTGTCTCCCAGCAACTTTTGGAGGGCGTGGTCACATCGTGGGGGGCGTGGTCACATCGTGGGGGCGTGGTCACATCGTGGGGGTAGTGGGCTCGTGGGGAGCGTGGGGGCGTGGGAGGCGGGGCTTCAGGCGCGCTGCTGTTTTAACCTCTTCAGCCGCTATGGGCCGAGGTCAACTATGAGAGCTTGCTTGCCCCACCACTGGGGTCCGCACAACTTTGAGGGAGGCGTTTGAGAGGATGGGAACACAGGCTGCGGGAGCTGTGCGCCGACAGTGGGAGGTGGTTGGCTGCCTCTCCCTCCTTGGACTTCTGTCTGCCTGCAGTCCCGACTGTGGGAACCATTTCTGAGGACGTGGTCTGGAAACAACCGTGTCACTGACTGGACCGTCTGGACTACATATATGTCAGACCTCAGGTAAGGCCTTTAGATAAATGGAGCTTCTGCCAGAGAACTCCTCTTTTTGCCACCGCCTGAGGCAGGCCCGGAAGAGAAGTTCCTTTTCCAAGGCTGTCACCTCCAACCTGATGTACCTCTTTCTGTGGTCTCCCCACCTAGCGGGGGCCATTTCAGGTTTCACTTGGGTTGCTCTGGAGACTGGAAAGCAACATGCAGAGCGCCCTGACACCCTGACAGGCGACTTTGCTGGGCCTGGAGGGTGAGCAGATTTCCATGGAAATCGGCTCTAAGGTGGAAGGGAATTCCTAGCCGCAACACGGTATGGTCGCTCCTTTATTCACCCATTCAGGAAAGCTCTGTTGTATACCTGCCTGCAAGAATTGTTCTAATGTAGCGATACCATAGTCGCTGCCAGTGAGGGAGGCAGACGGGTGCTACACAAGTGAATGGTGAAAGCAACGCGCTGATGGCTGGCAGAGCACTGGAGAAAACGGAAGGAGGTCGAGATGAAAAATGATGGGAATGTGTATACCCTGCTTTGTCAAGGGTAACCAGGGAAGCAATTTCTGGGAAGATTAAAGCAGAGACCTGAATAAGTGAGGGAGCAAGTTGCAGGGTTATCATGAAGGAGGAGTGTGCTGTGGCAGGAGATGAGTAACATTTCATGAAAACAATGAGGTATTCAGACATGGGAGGAAAAGAGAGCCTGGCAAACCAAGAGAAATGTGGGCACTGTAAACAAAGTGGGCATTTCGTGGAGGAACACGAGGAGTATTTTTTTTTTTTATTATAAGAGAAAAAGTTGAAGTTTAATGATGACTTGTATAATTACAGTATACATGGGAGGGACCCAATGAAACTGAGTAATTCCCCCTGTGGTCTCCCCCTGGTGTCTTATAAGACACCAGAGGTAGGGGGAGGAAGAAGAGGGAAGGTCAGCTAAGGGGTTTACCCAAGACAGTGCTGTAAAGAAAGCATGCACTTTTAGGCTCTGTCTTCTCCCAAAGAAGAGTTTTACAAAGCTTGTCCTGGAAACAATGTGAGGAAATGGCTGAGAGAGAAGATAGGAGTCAGAGGGATGAGGGAAAACTTCCAGGGTGGAAGATGCAGCTCTCTGAGGTGTGTCAGTGAGAACAGAGAGATAGTGGGTGGGGTGGGGAGGAGAATCTGGACCACGGGACCTGTAGGCAACTCAGGTTGGCTTCATTAGAACTTAGAGGGATCTTTTTCTCAGGAAAATGAGGGCGGGGTGGACGTAAGGGCACGAGGAGTACTTGGAAACAAGATTTCTCACAAGAAATTGGAAACAGATGCCAGTCTCCTTGGAAGAAGTACCTTCTCCCGGGCTTTCTTGCAGAATGTTCATGGTTTAACAGAGGCAAAAAGCTGAAGTGAGCCCAGCGGCTCTTCCTGACTGTCACTTTGAAGTTTATAAACAACTCTTCTGAATGGCAGTAACAAGAGTACATTTAAATGCTCATTTCTCCCTCTGTCAGAAAACTAAGAGTTTGGACTTTCTGGTTTGTGCTGTATCGTCTGCTCTGCAAGGATTAGATGAAGCTTTAGGCCACAATTTCTGAGTCTTGGTTTCCTTGAAATGGAATAATGCTGCCCAGAGTGCCCCTGGGGTTACTGTGAAATGACACTTGTACCACCTGCCACCAGGTCAGCCTGACTGTGTCTGAAAGATTAGTGAAAAGGAGTGGTGAGGGAAAGTCTAGCGAGAAATAAGGGGTGAGACAAGGAATAGCAAAAGCAAGAAAAGTTTATTGTGCTCTTGGGCAGCACCTTGGGACCAAGCCAGAAGGTGTTACACTGGTTTACGGTTTTGGGGTTTCTTAAGTAGGGTTAGGATGGCAGGGGGCTGACATGGCAGGGGTTTGGGGTGCCAGGTGGTTGCATCGGAAGTTATTTTTTCTGTCTTTTGGTGTAACAGTTTCCTGGAAGTAGGAGCAGTGGGTTTTCCTGAAACACCCTGGGCAGTGGTCTCCCAGGGGGGCTTAACCTAACAGTGTCTATCACAAAGGAGCTTTGAACTTTGACAGTTCAAGAGTCAACCTGTGTAATGTCTCCTGCTTCTTTTTACTATAATACATAATGCTGAACTGGAAAGACTACATAATGAGAGATCCTATGTAAATGAAAATGCAGGCATCCTTGTTCTAAAGTTACTAGGATTATCAAGATAGTGACAGCAGATTATTAAACCCAGAAGGGGTCCTGAAATGTGGGGTGCTGTGTGATTGTATGGGTTACATGCTGGGAAGCCACTCTTAGAAATCCAAGTGTTCAGATATGAGACTGTGGGTCTGAAATACGGAATAATGGGTGGGATGCTGGCAAGAAATGACTGTGCATCTCAAAGGTGTCAGAGATTTCTCTGGGCCTGGCTACAACCTGAACACAGAGGGGGTGCCTCTTATCAGTTAGCAATGTTGCTTTTCTGTATAAAAAGCTCAAATGTGTTAGCGTAGTATATCCGGAAAAGCAGAGAATCGGCAGGCGTGGTAGTAAGGCACAATGAAGCCTTGACTGCTTGCATTATATCAAATTTCATTTTCTAGTTGGAAGTTCTACACTGGGTATGTGATAGTAGAGTGTGCTGGAAAGCCTTAATTTCCCAAAAGGAACAAGCAGTCATGTATGTCTACATCCACTCGAGAAATACTGAAGGTCTATAAGTGCCTTGCGGGTGCCGAATGAAAAACACAGGCACCGGCCACCCACAGGGAGCAGAGATGCTAGCAGTCGACAAGTGTGATAGAACTTTGTTGTGTTTTGACTGCTGAGCACTTTTACTCCCTCCCTCGTTTTGGGGTACACCTTTGTGTGAGTCTTGGGAGGCAGAACACTCTCCCTGTAGAAACTGAAGGTGGTGATTCCTTCTTCGTGCTTCCCAATTCTAATGAGAGCATGAGACCTTTGCTTAGAGAACTCCATGTTTATTTATTTCTAACATACCAACTAGCATTGAACTTGCCAAGGTTTTGGGCCCTGGGTTTGGCCTGACAGATCTCAGGCATGAATGAATATAGCTCAGGCCCACGCAAAGGCTGGGCGACCTGAGGCCCATCACTAAGCTTCTCTGAATCCTGGTTCATGGATCAATTAGAGTTAGATGGTACATGTGAAAGTAAATATTGTGTGGCAGTTATCATTATTGGTTGATTATTCTATAACAGGTCAAGGCCTTGGGGCACTGGGCTACTTCCTTCTCAGGGAATTGAAAGCTGTGTCGCAGTTGATTGGTTGTGTTTGCCATGGGTATCATTGCCATTTTTACATTACTTGGATCTAATACCTTTGATAGGTTCTAAGACTCTCAGTGGGTACCTGAAACTATTATTGAACCCTGTGTGTACTAGTATTTTCCTATACACATGTGCCTACCATAGTGTTTACTTTATAAATTCAGCACAGAAAAGAGATTAATAGTAACAATGATAAAATAGGACAATTATAATAGTATGCATGCATGGGGCCTCGCAAAACAACTTATTACATAGTATTTTCAGATTGGTGTTGACTGCATAAACTGAAACCAAAGAAAGTAAAATAAGGAATGGGGATGCTACTGTAGCTGAAAGAAATTGCATATAGTAGTTTTGAATTTCTGAGGTAAGTAATCAATAGCTTAGACTGTTGGTTAAACCTTTCATGATGAGACCCTGCAATTTGCAATGTCCATCATGTACAAATCTAAATAGCTGGACTTCAGCTGTCTTCTGTAAGTGATTAAGGGGCTATTTCTTTCCCAGACTTTGTGTTAAAAATAACTGCTTGGAGGCCTCCAAATCTAGACCCTTCCTGTGTGGTCCCACAGCATGCTCTTCCCATTATATAGCCATTCTGTATGCAGATTTCCTGCTCCCATGTTTTTCCTTACCCACCCTACCCTCCACCACCACCACTAAAGCACAAGGCTAGTAAGGTCCCATATTCTGTCTTACTCAGTAATTTATTCCCGGAAACTAGGACCTTACTAGCCCTGTAGGTGCTAAGTGAGAGAACACACCCCTCACTGTTTGGTATGCGGTAGGAGAGAGAGCGAGACATACTCAGGAGAGCTCTACAGAGGTAGAAGGGAGCAGAGGGTCTTACTTTCACGTTTTTTCAGAAGCCATAGAATTATTTCCTTGTAGTCTTCAAAATTTTTCTTCAACCTGAAAGGAATGTGAAATATCTTTAGAAACTGATATTATATTCTCATTACATGTCATGCTATCCTGGATATGCAGTGTTAGAGCCAGCCGAGTTTTTTTTAGGTGGAAAGTTAGGTTTGTAGCCCTGTTTTCTGATCTAGCTTTCCTGAGTATTGGGGCTCAGGAATAAAGAGACAACATATGATATTAATAGGGTGCTTCCCTCTTGATCTCTAATGGACCTTTAACCTGGGCACACGGGCTGACCCCCAAATCTTTCAAAATGAGTTCAGCGAAGCTCATCTTTGGGGTAGGACAGGAGAGGGAAGTTCAAATGCAAGGCTGCCTTTATGGTTAAGCTCAGGCAGCTTGCGCTTTCTATGGCTTGAGTGTATTCCACTGAGGGTTGTATTTGGAAATAGCTTAGAGAAGCTGTATTGTCTGTGAGCTCATGTGAGTACCACAGAGCCACTTGCAATCCTTTTGTATTTAGTAGGAGAATTTCAAATGAACTCAATCAAAATGAATTACTGTGTAAGTTTCACTGAGGCAGGAACTTTTCAAAATGATCAAGCCCTGAACCCCCTGTCATGTCAATATATAAAGAGAGAGATCTTGGCGCTTTCAGTGGCTTGGACTGTTTTACTTCCAAATAAGTGTGGTCTTGGAGGGCAACTGTGTTTCCTAGTTCTCAGATCAGAGCCCCTTTGAAAGGGCACCAAAAGGAGTGAGCTTCTAGGTTTAATGGATCTGAGAATAAGGCCTTTGGCATGACAGATTTTAAGCTCTCAGTTCAGATTCCTTGAATAAAGCATAATAATTTAACCCTGAGCAACACTAGGAAGCAAATGCCCTTTGTTTGAAAGTATGGACTATTTCACTAGCCAGAGAGCAGAGGTTTATTATTTGTACTTTAGAAGTGAAACTGGAGAATGAACTCTTTGCTGTGCACTTGTTTCACATTTTTTTTTAAAAAAGATTTATTTATTTGTGCATACAGAACTGGGGTACAGGCCAGAGGCTCAGGGGCGGCAAAAGGCTTTACCAGTGACAGAGTGGGGAGCAGAACAGGCAGATCAATGAAGTACACTGCTGAGGGGAGCAGCGGGCGGGCCTGGAGAGGTCTGCCACACCATGTGGTCACCTCCGGGGCAGGTGGGAATCAAACTCATGCAGAAGTGGTTTCAGCTTCTTAGTGCTGTGCTTTAACCCGCTGCGCCACCAGGGAGGGCCTGTTTCACATCTTTTTAATCTTATTTGCAAGCACCTTGATTGGAATTGAAGCATTGCTCAGCCTACTATCATTGCAGAAGAGTAAGATTGAGGAGTGGGTGGGGTGAGGCCTGTTACCTCAATTGATACCCACAGGGTATCAATGTACCAAGAATGAAACTCCAGAGAGGGGAGCCATCCAGAGGCACCCAAGACCCAAGTTTCCTCACTTTCTCTTAGCCACCTGTTTAAGTTGGTAGAATTCTTACCTGCTAGCTTCTCAGTGGTATATACTGGGGTACATGGGGCTCTGTTACTAAGAGCCTTGTCAGTACACAGTGTGTGTTCAGGAAATAAAGCTAGAGTGATACTCTGATAACAGACTTAAATGGGAAGGGAGAGGAGGAAATTTCACATCCAAGGCAAGTTAATTACCAGGATATTGTTCTGCATTTGTTTTTGCTGCTATTTAAGGATCTCAGGCTTGGGTGTTCTCTGTTTTGTCTCCTCCTTTCCTAAAGAAGCTTCAGAGGTTTCTGCTCCCAGGTCTCTACTGAGCCCCAAGCAGTTGTTGGCAGTCAATTTTACTTCCTGATATTTGTGGAAACCTCCATTTGCCAAGGAGGTTTTGTGGGTGACCCCACAGCCCGTTCCTTAGTGCCACAGCTGGAGAGTCTGCAGCAGGCCTTGGGGGGCCTGCTCACACACCATGCATAAGCAAAGTTTCTGACAGATGCATACCTGAAAACCCAGGCTTCCATGTACCGCCATTTGGATGTACAAATGGGTTCTGGAACATTTGGTGGATTTGGGACCATGCCAGCTAGAAAGAGGTGATGCCAGCAGCGGGTTTGCAACAACCGTACCATTCTGTACCTTCAGTAGGGCTCTGGCTGGGGCTCAGAGGTGAGTGAAGCTCATGGCTTCCTCTCTCCAGGGAGCATGGAAAAAGCATTAGTTAACATAGGGTGAAGTTAGGGAGTTTCTTAGGCCCAGGATCTTAATTATTTCATTGTCCCTACTTTTCAAGGGCTCAGGGGTCTGAGCTTTGCTCCCCAGAATTTTGTACAAGTTCATGTTCCCCTGGGGGCCTTTCCTGTCCTGCATTTCCAACCTTGCTCACTGCCTGTCTTTTGTCATACCTGGCACTGTCCATGCTTGTAGATCTGCTTGTTCTGGAGTTTTGGCCACTAGATCATTCTACCACCTGACTCCTCATGGCTTCCTTGCCCTGCTGCTGAGCCTGCCCTTGGATGGAGGATCTGTCTGGTTCTGACTTTGTTGCTTTCTCTGATGGCCCGATTTGCATCTTCCCTGTTGCTACCTCTGGTCTACCCAAATCAAGAGACCACAGGCTTGATCTCGCCAGTCACTTACAGAATTCCCAGTTTCTTTAGGATTTCACTCTCCAGTTGCCCAGTCAGGGGAACGACAATATCCTCATTCAGTTCATTGTGACCATACATTTCTTTGATGATGTTTTTACACAGTGTCTGATAGGTGGTGCTCATCTACAAAAGAACAATAGAATGAAGCATCCAGAAAGTGAAAGTGAACTAATTCATCACTTTTTCTGACTCCCAAAGGTGCCAGGTGAGATTTTCACATGCTACTAAGAAAACACAAACAGAAAACGGTAGGGTGGCTAGAAGATTTATCTTAAAGGACATTTCCATGGCTATCAACTCTTCTTCATTCCTCAATTTTTTTTTTTTAAGACCACACCATGCCAAGAAATCTTTTTGAGAGCATAAGAGAACCCTCTTTTTCTAAATGCGGAGATGACTACAGAAGGTAAAATGCTTCCAAGCTTTAAGAGCACAAGAAGGTTTTAGGTGCTGGCAATGGCCAACCTCCCAGTGGTTGCTTGTTTGTTCTGTGTGGAAGATGACAGTTCTCTGGAGAGCAGGGTAGCTCCTCACATGTGAATACGAGTGGACATGTCTGAGTTTAAAGATGCTTCCAAAGTAAAGACAGAGTAAGCTACCTTTATCTTTTGCAAATTCATTCTATGCCACATCCATAATGCCAACCAGGACTGACTCATAGGTGGGTCCTCACCAGAACTACTGGAGGTGAGGGTTGGCTGGGTCATGGGTCATTCATGTCACCTGACTCACCTACAGATTGAGGTTGTTATTGTAGTCACTCAGCACTTGTTAATATATAGTGTGCTGGGAAGTCATATAACCTCCTTCACTAAGTGGAAAACCAATCCATTCCAAGTTGCATGTATCCTGCGGCAGATATAAAAATGTAATTTGTGATTGGCTGGTTTTTCTACGTTGGTAAGAAAACTGAGGTACTTCAGTCCTGGCTTGCCTGATTCCCAGCCTTTGTGTACTCCTCTTCTCATTGCTGGTATTAAATTAATTAGACCAAGAGGCCCTTGAATTGAGGTGGCTATAATGCTGTGGCAGCCTACCTACGTCTAAGCCAGAAAATGCGTCAAGGCTACCGCATTGAAACCTAAGGACAACCAGTCACAAGCAACCAACTGGACTTTAAGCTACAGCAGATCAAAAACTTACTGCTTTGCTTCTGTCTTTTTTCCATAAAAGGTCTGCTCAGTTCTTGTCCCTGGAGCCCTCCCTCCCATGTACAGCTTGCTGCTGTCCCATTCCAATCAAAACATGTGTATATAAATCTAAAAAAAATTTAGCATGGCTTATTTTATCTATTACTGGAATTAGTGCTTCAGGGTGGAGTGAGGCGCCGATATTCCTGCCTTAAAACCCTCGAAAGTCCTCCCTTTGCATTTCCTCATTCATATACCAGCAGTGCTTTAGTAGTTTAGTCTTCATGTAAACATGAAACAGTACCCAGAAATCATCAGAAAATATCAATGAACAAGATTACGGAATAATTAAAAATGACCATGTCATGAAAAACACCAAGAAAGGGGTCAAGACATGACTAGGAAAAAAAAAAGTACAACATGCATGTCAGCAAAAGCACTAAACTCTTTCAGATATATAAAACCCTAATGCATGCATATGGAAAAAAGAAATAAATAGCATAATGGGAAAGGGGACAAAGGAAACAAATTGGCCACTTATAGAAAGAGAAATATACATGATCAGCACAAATGAGAAATGTCCAATGGTTTTTATAGTGAAGGAGATGCCAGCGACAGCACCAAGCTATGATTTCTGTCCTATCAGATGGACCAGAATTGTGACCCTTGGTGGGTGAGGATGTGATGAGAGAGATACTCTCATATCCTGGAAAATGGCATGACTTACTTAAGAGGGAAATTTGTCTATATATTTTGTGTTGAAGATGCAGATTCTTTTAGGACCTGATATTCAACTGCTCGGAACGTCATCTTCAACTGCCCCGATAGCTGCTGTAGTGACTCATGTACAGGTCCTTGCAGCATTGAGATGGTGCTAGTTAAATGATAGCACAGACATGGAATGTCAAAGATTTCCAAACCATGCTATTTGGGAAAAGCAAGCTATAGAACAAATAGAATGTATATGATGGCCCTGTTTATAGATAATGTATATATATTTAAAGATCTGTATGTTCATATTAACAGTAAAATTTAAAGAAGAGCAGTATATGGTAGAAAACAGTACAGTTAACTTCATGAAGACTAATACTAGCTTACAGGCTTCTTCATTATTCTGATCTTTAAAAACTATGTGTACATGGTAGCTTCACAGTTCAAAAGCTGATTTGAAATTAAAATGCCTCAACAGACAAGACAAAAGTATATCAGACTGTCACATCCCTGTCTGAGATCAATTAGTGGCAAACCTCCTGGGGTCACAGGTCAAGGTGCCTGAGCTTGGAGATCTCTTGCTCAGTGCTTATTCTTGTCACAGCGAACTGTCCTGACATGTACTGCTCACCCTGAACCTCGTACAGCCACGTGGGCGATGTCTCCTCTCTGCCTGTGGCTACAGTTTCACCTGATACAGCAAAAATCTTCATTGACAAGCGTGCTAAAGGCTTCTGAATAATATAAGGTTCTAATTAAAACTATCCCTTTACATGTCAACTCTTGCTGAAAAATCTTTCTTAAATGCCTGAGTTTAATAAATCCAATGAAGTGAATCTAACTTCAAATAATCTTTTTTTCTCTCTTTGATGTGGTATTTTAGTATTTGAAAGCGATTCTTAGTAATATGATGCTATATAGAGGTAAGTATGAAAAGACATTCAAGGCTAAATATGAACTGGAACCAGAAAATTCCCCAATTAAAAATACAACTAAGTACCTAAGTATTTTTTTCCATTTCTATTCTAAGCTTAGAAAAATACTATCTCTTTAATGTTGAATTCTAGGGACACAGACTTCACACTCATGATTGTATTTAGTACTTACTATCCTGAGAAAATTTCTTGGCCATAGTGGAGAGGATGCCTATAGTATTTCTACCTGGTTCAACATGTATTGTCAGGCTTAGAGGCAAGTTGACCCAGGGCATTAGAGTTGACCCAGGACATTAGAGTCACCAGGCTGCCCCAGATAACACATTCATGCAGCATGTTTATAAATTCATTAAAAAATTCTGCTTTAAAAACAATATAGCATCTGTAGACGTGAGAATTCAAAATATTGTGACCTATCTGTTCTTTGGATCATCACTGGGGAAAGCACATTCCTTGAGTCGCAGAACTCGTTCCGGGTCCCTCTGAAGGGTAATGGTTATGGGGCCATAGATTTGGAGGTGTGGAAAGAGGTTGCTCCAGTGCTGTATGTCATGGTATTTGTGTGCTCTGTAGAGGTTTGCCTGCTCTGCTACACTACTCCTGATCCTTTTTGGTTAGTGACAGACTTTTCTGGGGGCTTTGCTTGTCTGTACTTGTTGGGGTTTCTGGGTTGCTATCTTTTCTAGTACCCAGTTACGTACTAAAATCAGGAAGCCAAAAGAAAACTTAGGAAACTCACTGCCATGCCATCTCCTGGGCCTCGAGGCCTCTTGCTGGTCTGCCACCTTTCAGAGCTTATGTTTGTTATCTATGTTGATATAACGTCTAGTTGTACTTCATGAGAAAAGTACACTTATTTGATCTTTCCAGAATCTAAGTTTATTTTCACATAGTATTTCCACAAAGAATACTTTGTCTGGATTATTCTACAGAGAAGAATTTGCCTAGATAACTTCTGCGTTTGATGCTTTGCTGCCTTTAAGCAAGCTTGAGGGTGTTGGTTCATATTATCAAGCAGAACACTCTGAAAATAGGAAGTGCTGAATTTGGCTTTCTTCTGACCCTCCTTGATGTAATATGAATCATTTAAGTTAATGTCTTTTTAAAGAAAAGCTTGGTTGGGCTGTGCTGGCAACAGTTATGGAGCTATGGATCCCAGAGTGCAAGGCAGCTCCCCGTTGACTTGGGGTGACCCTCCCTCTACATCAGGAGCATGTGGTCTCAAATTTTTATCCAGCTTACATCGTCATTGATGTCCTTGCTTTCCATTTCCTCAGTGGGTTCATGCAATAGAATGTTCCAAAGTTTTTCATTTGAAATAGACACCACAGTTTCCATATCTGGAAAGCATAACAAAAGGAAAAGACATTTGGAAAAGGAATCAAAACAAACAAACAAAAATATACAGAAACAGCAAAGGAAATAGATTTATGCCATCTACCTTTCTAGTTTTAAATAAAAATGCATACAGTATCAATAGACTAAATAAATTCATCAAATTACTTAAAATTCAACTTGGAGATATTCATAAAATAGGAGTAAAAGGGTGAGGTTCAGTGACTGACTTAAGAGTGTGTGTGTTCCTGGTGGCCAGAGTTTCAGCTGACATAGTGACATTTGAGACGGTCCTGGAAGAAGCATGGAGGCAGGAACAGCTTTCCTGCTTTGGAATAGTACGCACAAAGGCCCTGAGGTGGAAGTGTGACTGAGGTATCTGACAGATTGCAAGAGGCATAACATGTCTGGAGAGGAGCACTGGAGGAGACAGCAAGAAGGAAGATGGGTGGGTGTGGTGGGGCACAGCAGGGCCAGCTGGTCCAGCTCACAGAGAACCCTACCAGGCTGTGGGAAGGATGTTAAAATTTTATTCTGAGATTGATTGATTTTGGGTGTGACTTTTTTCTTGGAAATTTTGAGAAACATTTCTGTCTTATGTCAGTTTTGTCAAAACTTGCCAATTTTCAGAACTGCATATGATTCCTAATTGCTAATTAAATTGGAGATGAATCCCCAAGCTAGAGAGTTATAGTCAATCAGAGATAACGAATGCCTTTGTTCTCATAGTCGCCCACATTCTCCTGACTCTGGTCAGGAGAGGGGTGTTGGTGGGGTGCAAGTTGAATTGAGGAATTGATAATTGGGCCTCATTTCCTAGCTCCTGGGAAGGCATGGAAACTGAGGGGAGAGCTTGAAGAAGGGGATTTCACATGATAATTGGGTCTTGGGGGAAATTATGGAGGCCTGTTGTCTCTGCTTCAGGAGAACAATAACCCCTTCCAGCTGGGCCATCCAGAGAGCTCTGAAGATCCACCAGGTCAGGGCAGGACTGAGTTCCATTGATTCTGTGCTCCTACTGTGCTTTGGAGCAGAGGAAGGACAATGGGCTCTACATGTGTTATTTTTCCACCATTTCCCAAGCTTGGCCTAGAGGTAAAAACTTGTACTGCCTAGGGCTCCAGGTGGGATGAAGAACTCCACCCTGCCAGCCAGCGGCAGACCCATGGGCCTTTCTGCTTGTGGAGCTCCGACTCCAGCCTGGGTTTGCTCTTGACAGAAACAAGCTGCATCTGCTGTGGACCCCACTCTAAGAGAATCCCCCAGCTTTTCTTTTCTGCCAGTTCCCACAGGTGCACACCATCCCCACCAGGGTACCCTTACCTGGCAAAGGCAGGGGAGCCCTTTTAGCTCAATTTCAAAAATACTGTATGACCCCAGACTCTTCCGTGGTGGAAATTACTGGCAGAAAGTATTGCAAATCACTGAGGAAGGAGCAGCAAGAATCCATGGGGATTCAAGCAGGCATCCATGAAATGCCTTTTGTCACCGGAGAGGAGACAAAGAACTTGGTAGCACAGGGGTCTGGAGAGACAGAGCTGCACCCTCTGGTTGGAGATTCTTTGAGTATGTGCCTGCCCTGGGTGAGGATAAGAGTTTGGCTCTGGCTCTGGCTCTGATAGGTTAGCAGATTCCTGTTCTGTGTGACAAATATATTTTAATAGACTTTCTTGAATACTCCTATTTAATTTGAGTGGGGAGAACTATTTATCAAGGGAAGAAGATAACTTGGCAGTCCCAAGAAGGCAACAGCAGTATTAAGCACCGGTGGAGACTATTCTTAATTAACTTTCCCTTTGGGGTTTCTGTCAACCTTTGCCTTTGTTCTGGTGAGGTCATTATCTTTCCTGGCAGTCGCTCTCTATGGGATGGAGGTTGGAGGGCCATGCTGTGTCTGGCCAGGTTGAATGGTGGCCCTGGCATTCAGGACCTGAGCCAGTCCCAGCATGTCACACTGCCCCTCATTTATGTAAATGGGAACCACCAGACTCTTCTTGAGGGTGCCTCCCAGGAGTGGTGCTGATGGAAGTGGATACCTGGCAAACAGGCTCCCCCAGAGTGGCGTATGATTGAGAATAATTCTTAATTCTTCCCCATCAACCTCTGCCTCTCCCCTCATGCTTCTTCTCAGCACAGCCACAACTCACTCATTTGGTGAGTTGGCATAGATGCTTAGGCTGTGTCTATTTGTCCCACAGGACAGGTTCCCAGTTGTAGATGAGGAAGGGATGGGAGAAGCAGAAGCAAGCCAGCCAGAGACCAGCTCTAAGAAATGGGCAAGCCAGCTCTGCTGATAAAGCAGCACCCAGATGAAATGCAGGTCTGTTTTGCCTCTGCAGTCCTTCATGTAGTGGACTCCTTGACAAGTGGGTCAAGGGATAGGTTGGTGTGGGGGTTGCTATGGATACAAATTTATAAACTGTTCTGAAACTTGCTACTCAAGTGTGGCTGATGCATCAGCAGTAATAACTGCTGTGGAAAGCTTATTAGAAATGCAGGGGGCAGTGGGGGGCTTGTTAGATACGCAGGATCTCAGACCTACTGAATCAGAATCTGTATTTAACAAGATCCCCAGGTGGTCACGCTGTGCATTGAAAGTTTGGGCAGCACTCCGCTGAAACCCACCTGAAAATGGAATAAGTTGAAGGAAATTCTATTGCTCAGAACTCTTTTGGAGAGGGGTTGGGTGGTGGATGGGGTATACAGTCCAGCACAGCCCTCCCCCTGACCAGGGCACTTCACAGGGAGAAGGGGCCTTTGGATATATTGTGCGGGGCTCTCACCATGTACTTTTTCTCTTGACTCTTCACTTTTAACATATGCTGCAAAACAACAGGAAGGATCATTAACAGAATGTACTATGGTAAAGCGTGGACCTTTTAATCAATCTACACACCATTTCTTAAATGTCAGGGGAGTCTGCGATGGAGACCAGATGTTTTAGGATAAGAAGCTTCCATGATCTTCAGGTTAGAAGTCAGTAGCTTAATGCTTAAGATATATTGATGCCCCTCCCTTTGCTCATATTTCATCTTGCCCACTAGAGTCTAAGTGCTGAGAGGGTCTCACTGATTTTGTCCATATTTGCCTAGTGTACAGTAGGTATATAATAAATGTCATGAAATGAACAGAGTATGGACAATCCATTATCTTCCTTACTAACTCCAATGGCAAATGTTCTTTCTTCCCTTGCAAAATTTAATTTTAATGTAAAACACTTTAATACAAGGCATTTTACTTTTTAATCTGAGCTTTGAGCCTTGACAGTAAACCCTGAGAAGAATGCATTGGCCTTAGTTAAGGCTGACCTAGTCTAAAGTAACCAAAGAACGCTCTCTTTGGCTGGGAGCATACTCATTCTGTAGCACATGTCTTTTAAAATCATCATAAAATTATAAGATTAAAGGATATACCTTCCAAATCAGCTTGTATCTCAGCTAGCAAATCCGTTGGAATTTCTTGCTCTTTTTTTGAGTCTGCTACTGTTAAGAAAAAAACAACAACAGAAAAAGTGACTATGAATGATTTTAACCTCACACATTCCAATGGGTTCACACTGGACACTCAAGGTCTCAGGTCCCTAGGTTAATCTACAGAGGGAAAGTGGGTTGGAGGGCACTGCTGGCTTCTGTTGGGTGCTTCCTGCCCCTGCTGCCCTCCTTTCCTTTGCTAACTTACCATAGGACTGGATAAAACAGTAACCTGGGGTTGGGAAGGCCTTAGAGACAGTGCTTTTCCTATAGGAGGAATAGCTATAGGAACCAGAGACAGTGGCTTTGGGACCAGATAGACACATAATGGAGTATATAACTGTCACTGTGGGAAGTGGGTGTCTCTGGTGATCCGTTGTCAAGAGTGCCCCAAGAAGGGCATAATGGGACCTAGGTAGGAATCATGGGGGCTGTCTGGTCTATATCCAGCAAAGTATATAATGGAAGGTTCTGTACTTTTTTTTTTTTTTAAAAGATTTATTTATTTATTTGTGCATACAGAACTGGGGTACAGGCCAGAGGCTCAGGGGCGGTGAGAGGCTTCACCAGAGACAGAGTGGGGAGCAGAACAGGCAGATTGACAAAGTACACTGCTGAGGGAAGCAGCGGGCGGGTCAGGAGAGGTCTGGCTCGCCATGTGGTCTCCTCCAGGGCAGGCGGCAGGCGGGAATCGAACTCATGCGGAAGCGGCTTCAGATTCTCAGTGCTGTGCTTTAACCCGCTGCGCCACCAGGGAGGGCCAGGTTCTGTACTTTTATGAGGATTTTTGTCTTAGACCTCAGGGAACAGCAGTGCTAACAGCCACCCATCTCTGCTCACTTTTGCTGATCCTGGTACTGTACATCTAGCACTTAGAGGACTGCTTCTGCCGTGCTTGCCTGTGTTTCTCCAACAGGTGGATAGGTACCTTGTGCTCTGGACTGGTTCTGTTTAGCATCTGCCACACTTGGGAATCCCAGTGTTCTGTGCTCCAACTGTCGGAGAACTGGCTTTCCTTTGTGGCAGGAATGCTTTCCCCATCACACACAGATGGTTTTCCTTGTGTCACTTTTCCTCTACTTCCTCTTTACTTGGCTTGGGACTCTTCTACCTTCCTGGGGCTCCCAACTTCCTGGCTCACCCCTGTACCCTTCCAGCCCTTTCTCTCAGACTTTTCACCCTCTGAAAGAAGTCTCTGTCCTATGAACCCATTCTATAGGCCAGATGCAGTCATGCACCTATTGCTGGCAATGTTTGCCCAGTGATTACTGGTGTTTCCCAGAAATATACATGCTAAATCCCCTATAAAGTATTCATGGAGGAAGCTCTCTATGAATTTCTTGCAATTCTTAAGAAATTACTTGCTTTTTCTTGCATTTTAAACTATGCCCTAACCACCATCCCTTCACATAATTCCACGAACCTAGGGTGTGTCCCTAATCTTGGCTTAGAGGCTGCAGCACAGACCACACCTTTGGTCCTGGCCTCTCACATCACAGATTTTGATCAGCAGGCATGTAATGTGAGTGGCTAGA